ATGCCTGAGGTCTGGATCTTGCCTGAGTGCAGATTATCCCCTGGCACTGGGATTGCCAGGTACCCATCTCATTCAAACACAGGGGAGCCTGGACTGTTCCCTGTGTCCCCGTGTCTTTCACCTTCTGTGTGCAGCCAGCTGCTCATCTCCTTGCTCTCTTTTGCTCTCTGAGCTGAGCCTGTGCCTGGGGGTGTTTTTGGAGATGCCAGTGTTGGTTGAAGTCAGCAGCACCCAGTCTCACACCGCTGCTGAGTGATGGCTCCGTGGAGAGAGGTCTGTCCCTCCAAGATGTGGGGCTGAGGTACCAAAGCACCTGATTCACAGGCAAGGAGAAGACTTTGGGAGCAAAGCCTTCACATTTGGATTTCTTCCATCATTGTTGTACAAACTTCAGGCTGTCTCTCTGTTCTCTTTCTGCTTGGAACATCCCTCTGCCTCCCAGCATGGCTGAGAAACTCACCCCTCATCCTGCCTGTGCAGGGAGATCTCCCTCTATCCCATCCATGCCTATCTGCAGCCTAAAACTGGCCAAAAAGTTGGATTTTCTATCTTTGACTGATGCTGAAAGCTGGGATGGAAATTTGGATGTTCTTGCTCTGGGTTGGCTGCTTACTGAGGTGACCAGCATGGACAGATAAAGTTGGCCCCCTCAGTGCCCTGGAGATAGGTTTGTCCTTAACCAGGAGAGCTGGACCTGGCTAGGAGCTGGGAGCTGAGCTCATCCTGGCACTGTCTGCTCTGTGCCTGCTGCCAGCTCCCAGCAGAGGGGCTCACTGCACCCCTGGACAAGCTGAAGCACCAAGTGCCCACAGCAGGTGATTTGAGTCCCATTCCTGTGGGAGGGAGACCTGTGAGGCTTTGGAGAGCAAAGAGGATCAAGGAAAGGACCTGACCTGACATGTCCCTTGCCCCGGGCAGGGCTGCTGCTGCAGGAGATGACCATGGCAGGGCTGCACGAGCTGCGCTTCACCGAGGAGAAGCCGCTGCTGCGGGGACAGGACGCCGAGCTGGTGAGTTTGGTGACCACGCTGGCTGCAGCTCCTGCACGTGGGGCACCAGGACATGGGAGCTTGGGAGGGGTGGAGGGGCTGTGTGCTGGTACTGGGCATATGTGTGGCACTGTGTGTGTGTGTGCTGGCTTTGGGTGCACAGGTGAGGCCCGCCGGGATGATGGATGTGTGTGCAGAGGTTGCACATCATGTTCCCACACACCTGTGTGTGTGCACACCCGCAGGTAACACATGCACGTGTGTGCAGCTGCTGTGGAGGTGTGTGTGTGCACACGTGTGGGCACTGTGTCCCCTGCACCCCGGGGAGTGCTGCCTGTGGTGTCGGGGGCTTTGTGAGCTGGGCAGGAGGGCGCTGCACAAGTCAGGGGTGTCTCTGTCCCTAATGGCTCCTTCTCATCCCAGGACAACTCGGATGTCTTCCTCTCCACTGTGGACACAGACTGGAAGGTAGGACCAGCCATGGGAGGTGCTGCCCACCCCCGGGTTTCACATGGAACAGCAGCCTGTGCCTGGGGAAGGCTGGGGGGCACTGAGTGGACTCAGGGGTGTTGCTGTCCCTTTTCTCATGGGATGCAGTGCCTGGTCAGTGTCTGGGCATGAGGTTGCACATCCATCATGGTCCTTGTCAGAAGGGGACAGGGGGATGCTGCCAGACATCTCTGTGCTGGCGCTCAGATGTGGCTGGTGGGCACTTGGCCATGGGCTGGGGACAAAACCTTTAAAACAGGCAATTTCTTCTCAGGAAGGCCGAGCTGCTTTTCCAGCCCCTCTACCATTGCCATGGCAATGGTTTCCAGGCGATGCCAGCTCCCTGCTTACATAAGGATGTTTGAAAGCCTCTTTCTCTTTTGGAGGGCTGGGGCATTGCCCCTTATACCACCCACCTCTCTTGGAGAGCAGGGCCCCTCTGCTCCCTTGGCTGGCACCTGCTCATTTTGTACCTCCATTTCTGCTCTCCAAAAGAGCCCCATGACACAGCTCCGGCACTCATGGGAGCTCAGCTCCTGCCTGGCTCCCACACTGGTCTGCATCCCTCTCACACCTCTGCCAAGGCTCATCCTGCACCAGGCTCCCTCTGTGGGGACCAGGGTGGTGGGGAGGGAGGGTAGTAGGTAGTTCTGCTTGTCCCTCTCCAAAGTGTTCCCCTGCCAGGGGACACTGATGATTGTCACACAATTTCAGGTTGTGTGCTGCCACTTTGCCAGCAGTGGGACTATGGGGAGAGTGGGCTCAGGTGGTCATGGCTGAGCCCTTGCAGGTACAGCACTGAAACAACAGCACCTGTAAGGAGAAAATACCTGTGGAATTCATTCATCCTGGGATAAGGGCAGGGGAGCACAGGTCCCTGTTTTAGCAGGCCCAGAATTTTGGGGCTGGCCCACTCAGTGTCTGTCACCCATGTGGGTGGGAGGGTGCAGCTGGTAAGGAAGCAAGGCCTTTGGCAGGGTGCTGGCTGCTGTGGTTCACAGAGTGGGACATATCTGATGGCCCTCTCAAAAGCCACAAAATAATTAAAATGGTGCCCTCATCAGCAGCTCCAAAGCTGGTGAGGTGCTGGGGCTGGGAGCAGCAGCGTGTGCAGGGCTGGGCTGCTCCTTTCTCTGCTTGATCCAGACTTCTGTTGGCCACTGGAGGGGAAACCAAACCTCCTGGTGTTACCAGAGAGAGAGAGAGTAGGGGGAGGGAGGTGAGGAGGGGAGGAAGATGGCAGTGCCAGGCTGCCCAGAGCTCTCAGTAGCACCAGAGGCACCAGGATGGCTCTGGCTCAGCTGTGCTGGGGCAGGGCTTGGTTGGCACACAGGGGATTTTAAAGAGCAATGACCCTCCCAGGACAATCCTTGTGTATTTCAGGGGTTGGCCCACGGTGGCACTGAACTGTGTCCCTGGTGGTGCCCAAGTGGAGCAGTTCTGGACAGCAAATGCCACAGAAATGCACTTCCATGACCTCAGGACCTAAAAAAGGAATTGGGCAACAATCAAGACAGCTTTTCCCAAGCCAGCCAGACCCTGAGACCTCTTGGTTTCCCTCCAAGAGCCTCAGGGCAGGAATGGGCTGAGTTTCCTGGGCTATGCCAGGGCAGCCACCTCCTTTTCTCCACCCTGCAAGTTGGTGCAGTGCAAAGGCTGGGGCTGCCTGCCATTCCTTGGGGAGATCTTAGCCAAATTTCTAGGCTCACCTCCTTGGGATAATCCAATCCAGCCCCCAGCTTAACTCTTCACTGTCTGTCTGCTCCTTCCTAGAGCCAGTCACTGATGGGATCAGACGTGGCTGGGGCAGTGGGGGGCCTGGGGAGCCCCCACTTCTGCCACCAGCCAAAGTAAAGCCCTTGAGACATAAGCCAAGGTGCAGGAGAGCTGGAGGAAGGTGCCCTGGGACCCAGGTGCCCTGGATCCTGCTGGAGGTCTGGGAAGTGGGCTAGTAGCCAAGGCAGTGGTGATCCCACTTGATGCTGCTACAGCAAAGTCAACCTTGCTCAGCCCTCCCTTCTCTCTGAAACCCTTTTACATTCACCTTGGCTCTTCTACCCCTTCTGTCTTCTGTTAACCACTTCCTGTCTTTTTTTGTCCCTCTGCATCTCTTGTATTTTTCCCGGGGTCTGTGGCTCTCATGGTCATTGGCTCTACAGGCACCAGGGCTGGGGAAACCAAAAATGGCACCTAAAGTGCCAGGAACCACCTGGGAGCAGAGATTCTCCACCATACTCAGTCCTTCAATTGCAGAGATGCTTCTTTCCAAGCCTCTTTCCTTTGCCCCACGGGACAAAGCAGTGCAGAGTAAAGCCTCTCTGATGGAGGCAGTGTGACTGTCATCCCTCTGCCTGTCTGTCCTTTCTCCCACATCCTGGCAGTGCAGCCCTGACTCGTTTGTAGGACATGGCTTTCAGTGGGCTCCTGAAGGGCTCTGTGGGACTCCTTCTCCATCCATGACTGCCCAGCTTTGTGCCCGTCGTGCCAAGCTGGGCAGTGCTGCTGGGCTGGGCAGGGTGCAGGGGGAGGGCACCCACACACTGCTGGGGGATTTTTGGGGCTCTGGTGGTAAGAGGCCTTGTTGGAATCATGGAAGAAATCATCTGCCTGCACACATGTGCACATGGGAATACTCACACATGTGTGCATGCACACAGCATGTGTCAGTCCAGGGACACAATCCAGCCCCTTGGAGCTGCTGGATTGTCTCTCCTCCTGCTTTATTTGCCTGCCACTGGTGATGCCCAGGTCAGGGCTACACCCTGCACATGCCCTGCGTGCCATCATCCCGCAGCAGGTGGGATGAGTGTGCTGCTGGGTGAGGTGACACAGGTGTGGACATGTGTGTGCCCCTCTGTGCACACCTGTACACGGCTCTGCAGGTGTGCAGCTCGCTGTGCATCCACCAGCATTAGTGATGGCTGTGGCATCCATGCTGAGCCCACGGGAGGAGGATGCAGCAGGTGCGCTCCTGGTATGCACAGCACGTACAGGAACTGTCACACACGGGGCCTGGCCTGGGGGTGATTCCACAAGCATTTTGTGGGGCGCATGGGCGTCGGTGTGGGTATGGTATTAATTTTCCCAGTTTTCCCGCTGGCAGACAGGGTTTTGCCTGTGTGTGTGTGTGTGTTGCTGCGTGTTTCTGTGCACGGACACGCGTGGTCACGTAGACGCACACGCCTGCCGTGTCCTTCTCCTGTTTTTAGCGTGTCCATGTGTGGCTGTGTGTGTGCTGCCCTGCCTGGCCGTGGCTCAGGCCGTGGCTGCGGGCTCGGCCGTGGCTCTGTGTCGGTGCGGGGTGCAGCCGGGTGCTGCCCGCGCCGTGCCGGGTCCGCCCAAAGAGGGAAGATGGAGAAGGTATCGCACGGTGCCAGGCGTTTTTCCTTCATAAACAAGGGTATTTGGGGCCAATTGGAGCATGAATAATTCCCGCGGCAGCCAATGGCTGAGTGCTGGCTCCATCGCGGCGCTCGCCCGCAATGGAGGCCCGACCTGCCGAGGGGGAAGGGCGAGGGAGGGCTCAGCGCAGGGCTGGGGCTCCGCTATAAATCCGGCCGAGGGCTGAGCCAGCGCAGAGCTGAGCTGCGCCCCGGTGGCTGCGTTGCTGTGCCCCACACCCGGACCTCCAGCTTGGCCCACACGCCTGAGCAGCCTCGTCCCCCAGTGCCTCAGCATGCCGGAGTGCTGGGATGGGGTAGGTACCGCCGCTCCCGCGCTCGCTGCCCTCCCTCACAGCGGTATTGCCCCCGCGTCTCTCCTGCTTGCCCAGGCCGGGCCTTTGCAGCCAGCAGGGCTCGGCGTGGGTCAGGCAGGCACTGGGGCGGGCAGGACCCACTGCTGGGGAGCCCTTCCTCCCCCGGCCCTGCTGCCGCATCCCTGATGTGCTGCAGGTTTTGGGGACGCATTGTCCTTGAGCGTGTCCTCCCCGAGGCCGGCAGGGATGCTGTGCCGAGGCTGAGGGTGAGCAGCTCTGGCCCGGGCTGGGGCTGGGTGCTGACGGGGGCACACTGCCCCTTGCCCACCCCCTGAGCTGCAAGGGAGAGGGTCTCTGGCTGTTTTGAAGCAATCCCTCAGTTGTTTTCTGGCCTCTGCGGTGATGGCAACACCCGATGGCAACAGGGTGGTGCAGAGGGTGTGAGTGAGGTGGGAGCACTGCAGCTGTGAGCAGGTAACCTGGACGTGGATGGGCTCTGTCAGACACCTATGGGTGCTGAGACCCCCATGCCCCTCCTCGCTGGGGCTGTGGGTTGTCTGTGCCCCTCTCTCCTTGCTGTGGGTTGTCTGTGCCTCTCTGTCCTTGCTGCGTGCATCCCCTGCATCCCAAGCCTCTTCTCCCAGCGAGCATCCCTGCGGCAAAGGGCAGGGCTGTGGTAGCCAGCGGTGCTGCAGAGGCTGCACCACGGGCAGGATGTGTCTGGCTTGGTGGAGGGTGGGAGGCAGGAAGGAGCAGTGCTGAGGCTGGATCTGCTACCTTGGCCAGGTGATTTTGGGGTAGGATTGAAAGCTGAGCCCTTGGGGATGTGATGGAACCACGGGGATGGTGATGGCAAGGAGGCAGCCCTGTGCCCAGGACCAGACCACATGGATGCCTCCTGCTCTATGACCTTGGGCCAGGCCCTTCCTCTGCCTCAGTGTCCCAATCTGTTCTTGCAGAGGGATGTCACTGCTCATGCACTTCTGCCTGATGCAGCTGCAGGGGGTGGAGGGACAGCTGTGGATGAGGGATAGGGTCAGGGTGCCCTTGGGTGTGAAGAGATGTTTCCACAGAGCCCTGGATCTGCTTTTGGCCATCATGTTCCCCCAGGGACAGCAGGTCTCAGTGAGGGGAAGCACTGCAGTGAGGAGACCCTGTCCCCAGGTGGTTCCTCCCACCCAGGCCCGTGTCCTTCAGAGTCCTTGGTGGCGTGTAACCCGCGTGAGCATCCACGTACCTGCTCCCCTCCCACCAGCCCAGCCATGGGGCTGCCAGTGCCAGCAGTGAGGACCGTGATGCTTGGGCACCCTGCCACCATCCCCTGCCCTGCCCTGCTCAGCACATGCTGCCCCTGCACCCAGCAGATTCCAGCCTCGAGGTCACTGCAGCTGGACTGGCTGGCGGGCACAGGCATCTGGAGGGGACCTCTGGTCCCTCGTCCTTGGGGAGCACCTGGGCTCAGTTTCCTGTGCTGGCTGGGAGCAAAGGCCAGGATGTGGAAGGAAAGGAGCCCTCCTAGATAGAGAAACTGAGGCATGAGGTAGTTTTTGTGGGGGCACTACCATTTCAGACCAGGGGTTTTAAAATTACTTTAGCTGTAATTTTGGGATCAGGTTGCAGCATTTCCTGGAGTGCTGTCCAGGGTCTGACCTCTGTCTGTCCCAGATACATCGAATCTGTGCCCAACTGGGCCATGCTGTGAAACCCTACTCTGTTGCCAAAATTTTCTCAGTCTCAAGCCCTTGAAGATCTCATTTTCCATGCTGTGGCCCACCTGTCCCATCCTATTATCCTTCTCTCTCAAGCCCTCTTGAATCCATCCCTTGATACCATCCTGTGATCCCATCCCATGATATACATATCTAATCCTACATCATATGATCCTATCCAAAGTCTTCCCTTCCCTTCCCTTCCCTTCCCTTCCCTTCCCTTCCCTTCCCTTCCCTTCCCTTCCCTTCCCTTCCCTTCCCTTCCCTTCCCTTCCCTTCCCTTCCCTTCCCTTCCCTTCCCTTCCCTTCCCTTCCCTTCCCTTCCCTTCCTTCCCTTCCCTTCCCTTCCCTTCCCTTCCCTTCCCTTCCCTTCCCTTCCCTTCCCTTCCCTTCCCTTCCCTTCCCTTCCCTTCCCTTCCCTTCCCTTCCCTTCCCTTCCCTTCCTTCCCTTCCCTTCCCTTCCCTTCCCTTCCCTTCCCTTCCCTTCCCTTCCCTTCCCTTCCCTTCCCTTCCCTTCCCTTCCCTTCCCTTCCCTTCCCTTCCCTTCCCTTCCCTTCCCTTCCCTTCCCTTCCCTTCCCTTCCCTTCATTTTGTCCTGCTTTCTACCCCCAGAGCTGTGTTTTTCCTGGGACAGCTGCTCCTCTTTCCCATGCCTTCCCACGGGACCCAGCCATTTGGGGCAGCAGCAGGGAAGGGTGTGATGGCAGGGCAGGAGAGGATGAAAGAACGCCTCAGGGCAGGTGGGCATCACCCCATCTCTGCTCTCCCCCAGGAACACGACATTGAGACCCCCTACGGGCTGCTGCACGTGGTCATCCGGGGCTCTCCCAAGGGGAACCGCCCGGCCATCCTGACCTACCACGATGTGGGGCTCAACCGTGAGTGCTGCTCCTGGGCTGGGGGTGCAGGGCAGGCAGGGCTGAGCCCCAGGCTCCGCAGGGCGCCAGGACACCACCCCTGGCTCAGCTCCTTTCCTCCACCCGTGGCTGCAGCGGGTCCCCCCGGGCATCTGAAAGCACCAGGGGAGTTTGGATGCTCAGCTGGCCACAGGCCAGGCACAGCCAGGAGTGCTTGGCCACCCCGGTGCTGGCTGCCTGCCGGCCCACAGCAGGCAGGGATGGGGCATGGGGGATGCTGGGCTGGTCCTCGCTGCCACTGCCAGCCCCTTGGTATTCAGAGCATGGACCCAGCTGGCAGCAGGGCAGAGTGGGGGACAAAAGAGTCAGGGAACAGCAGGGAAGGAGGCACCCTGAGTGGGGGCTCTGATGTGGAGATGCTGCACTTTCTGTCAGCCTGCAGCCCTAGACCTGCAGCCCAGAGCCCTCAGAGCCCTGTCCCGGGCTGTGCCCTCCAGCTGAGCCAGGATGCACAATTCCCTGAGTGGGGAGAAGCATCTCCCGCTCCGCTGGCGGCTGAGGCTGAGTCACTGACGTGCCACATGAGCTGTGTCACCACTGCAGCAGCTCTGGCTGTTCAGGTGCATGTCATGCTGGCTGCAATGGGCCTTACAACCTGTCTCACCCCACGTTGTGGGAGGGATGCCCCAGCACTGATGCCATGGGACAGGACCCCTCCAGACCCTGGCAGTGTCTGTGTCCCGCTGCAATGGTGGGGTCTTGTCCACAGCTGGGGATGTTGCTTTGACTCTTTCCAAGCAGGGAGATTTGCAGCTGTTCCTCAAATCCTGTGTTTGTTTGAGCCCTTTCTGGGGATTTTGCACAGGGCTGATACCCCAGACTGCTAATCCTGCTGCCCACTGGGCGATCTTGCAGTCCTGGGCTCTGCATCCCTGAGTCCCATCCTTCTGAGGCTCCCCAATGAGGTCATCCCAAACTCCTCATTCTCCTGGCTGTGCCTGTCCATCCCCGTGCCTCCTGACACCTGTAGGGATGCAGCCCTTGCTAACAGTAGCTGTGGTCTCTGCTGGGAAGACAAGGAGCCTGGAGGGAAGGGGATGGGATGGTTTTGGTGGCATGTCACCTCCTGGATGAAGGGCAGTGGGAGGGTGGGCAGCTGCTCTCCATGCTCCCCTGGCCCACCAGGCCCCAGTGTCGGGGTGTTTGGTCTCTGATACCCACCTGCCCTTTGACAGACAAGCTTTGTTTCAACACCTTCTTCAACTACGAGGACATGCAGGAGATCACGAAGCACTTTGTGGTGTGCCACGTGGACGCACCGGGACAGCAGGCAGGAGCCTCACAGTTCCCTCAGGGGTAGGTGTCATCTGCAGGGCTCCCCGTGCCTGCTGGGGTGTCACCTCCCTGCCCCTTGGGTTGTTGCTGCCTGGCAGTTGTGCCCTGCCTGTGGGTCTTTCCAAACTGTGCCAAAGCCTGTGGCAGACGACTGGCCCAGGGTGGGTGGCATTTCCCTGCCCATTTCAGGCAGTCCAGCTGCCCTGTCCCAGACACTCTGCTCTGAACAGGTTCCATAATCACCATCCTGTGCCTCCCTGTGCCACAGGTACCAGTATCCATCCATGGACCAGCTGGCTGCCATGTTACCCAGCGTGGTGCAGCATTTCGGGTGAGTCAGCCTCTCTTCCACAGCTGCTGGCTGAGGGTCCTGGGCAGGGAGATGGACAGAAGGCAAGGATTTGGGTCTGGGGGAGTTGTCCCTGTAAGCTGGCATCCTGCAAGTCTTCTTGCTGTGGGTGGAGGGGTGTCCCAGGAATGTGTTGGAGCCCGCTGTCCCCTCATATGGACCTCTCCATATTTCCAGGTTCAAATACGTGATCGGGATTGGTGTTGGGGCAGGAGCCTACGTGCTGGCCAAGTTTGCGGTGAGCCTGGGGCTGGGATGGGCTGGCCTTGAGTTGCTTGTACCTGCTGTCAGTCCAGGGCTAGACATGGAGAAGAGCAGGAGCGATACCTCCAGGCAGTCTCTGTTGCTGCAAAGGTTCCTGGGGGGCTGGGGGACCCAGCACAGCAGTGCCAAGGCTGCACAGGTCTCCCAGGACGGGATCACATCAGCTCCACGCGATGCCTGTGCAGTGGCTGTCATGGGGAACTGTCCAGGGCACATCTCCCCTCCCCTCTGACCTCTCCCCTCTTGCTCACTGCAGCTCATCTTCCCTGACCTGGTCGAAGGGCTGGTTCTTATGAACATCGACCCCAACGGCAAAGGCTGGATTGACTGGGCAGCTGCCAAGGTGGGCAGGGCCCCGACCCCTCCTCCCAGTCCTGGCGGCTTCCTGGGGCAGGAGGCAGCCAGGGCAGTGCAGTAACTCCCTCTGCTCCCTCCGCAGCTCTCCGGCCTCACCAGCACGCTGCCGGACATTGTCCTGTCCCACCTGTTCAGCCAGGTAAGGGCTGTGCATCCTCCAGCCCCTGCCACCAGCCCCAGCCCAGCGTCCCAGCTGGGTCACCTCGGCTGTGCCCTGCCAGCTGCCACAGTGCCAGTGTCCCATGTACAGGGCTGGGGTCAGTCAAGCACTGCCTGGTCTGAGGCTTAACCCTGATGAGTGTGTGACCTGTGCCCATGTCCTGCCTGGGTGTGCTGCCTGCAGCCCCACTGTGCCCAGCTGCATTGCCCAGCATCCCCCTTCTTGTCCGTGCTGGCTGGCATGGCATGGGCAGGACTTGGGGAGCAGGGTGTGCCCCCAGCACCTGCCCTGACCTCCATCCCCTGCTGGCACAGGAGGAGCTGATGAACAACACGGAGCTGGTGCAGAGTTACCGGCAGCAGATCGGCAGTGTGGTGAACCAGTTCAACCTCCAGCTCTTCCTCAACATGTACAATGGGTGAGTGCTCCAGGCAGCCCCACTGCAGGGCTGCATCCCTGTGCTAGGGCGAGGGGCTGCAGTGCTGGTGGGTGCCTCTGAGGTCACTGTGAGAATCCAGACCCCTGTTGGGTGCTGTCGTCACCCTCCAGTGCATGCAGGCAGCAGTGCAAAGCTGTCTGCCACTGCTGGATGGGGATGTGGGAGTGATGATACCTGAGCCAAAGCCTTGCCATGTGTCAGAGCCCACTGCCATGAGTACACATTTCCATTTCTCCTCCTGCACTGGGTGCTGGCACAGGCCTGGGGAGGGAGGCAGAGATGCTGTGCCATGCATGCAGGGGTTGGGAGCCCTGCCACTCTGCTGGGTGCTGCATCCTGCGGCACAGGCTCTGCTTGGGCCGTGGCAGAGATTGCCACGGCATCCTCCATGCACAAGGTGCCAGGACAGCGGGCTGGGTGTGGCTTCTCAGGGCTGGCAGTGGCCTGATTCTTGTGCTATGGCATCAGTGGTGGCACCTGCCCATGAGCTCACACTGGCCTTTCTCCATCAGCCGCAGGGACCTGGACATCAACCGGCCTGGGACTGTGCCCAATGCCAAGACGCTGCGGTAAGAGCCGTGCTGGCAAGTCAGAGAGGGGTCCTGGGGCAGTGGAATTCACTCAGACCAAGCCCTGACCAAGCCCCTTTCTCCTCTCACTTCCAGCTGCCCCGTGATGCTGGTGGTCGGAGACAACGCGCCTGCTGAGGAGGGGGTGGTGAGTGCTGGGGCACTGCCTGCAGGGTGGCAGGCAGGCGATGCCCACGCACGGGCACGCACATGTTCACTGCCTGCTCCGACACAGGCAGCTCGCGGGGGTGGGAGCGTGCTCGTGTGCAGACCTGCCTGCTCCTGTGGGCACCTGTGCACGCACAGCTGTGCGTGGTTGCCACACCTGGAAAACTTCCCCTTCTCCATATGCCCAGGTGTGCTCACGCTGTGCACGCTCGGGTGTGTCGGCACACGAGCACATCTGTGCTTGGCCATCTGCACCCACACGGCTGCTGGCACACTTCTGTGCATGTGCACACACGTGTGGCACAGAATGCCTCACTAGTCCCCCTCGCCTCCCGTTCCAGTCCCTACTCTTGCCCAGACTGATAGAAGCAAAGTCCCCTCTGTCCCATGGCAGGGATGGTGGTCCTGCGGGCTCAGGGCTCACTTAGCGCCCTGTCTGCTCCTGGCTGGGGTGGGATTTGCCAACTGCAATGGCAAATTCCAGTGGGCCAGTGGTGGTACATGTGGAAAACTTCTGCTTGGCTCCTGGCTTCCTAGGTGCTAATATCATCTCTCTTGTCTGCAGGTGGAGTGTAACTCCAAGCTGGATCCCACTAACACCACATTCCTGAAGGTAGGGCTGGTGGCAAGGGGCAGTAGGGTGGTTCCTGCTGCCTATGAAGTGCCCCGTTACCTTCTGCCCCAGGGCTGCAGGGTGTCCCCATCTCCCCATTCCAGGTCCATCATACACCTTGGAGGTGTATGGGGAGAGCAGTGTGACCCCAGCAGTGGCATCCTGCCAGTGGGTCCGGGGGATGGTGGGCAGTACAGGCACCCTCCCAAACTAAGCATGACCTTCTCTTTGCAGATGGCTGATTCTGGTGGGCTGCCCCAGGTCACACAGGTGAGCCCTCACAATTTCCCCAGTTACCTGGGCATACTGGGCCCTGAGACATGCACTGGTGCTGTCCTTGGCTAGCTGGGGTTGGGCTGATGAGGGCATAGGGATCTCACACTGGGGCTGCCAGAAGCTGCTCGGGGCTGAGAGGGGATCTCAGCCTCAGTGCTGCCTCAGCTCAGCTCACCCTGCTCTCTCCCTACAGCCAGGCAAGCTGACCGAAGCCTTCAAGTACTTCCTGCAAGGCATGGGCTACAGTGAGTGCTGGGGCTGGGTGTGGGGCTGCTGTGGGTCTGTGTGTGCTGGTGTGCACGTGTGCTGACCTGCTGCAGGTCTGTCCGTGTGTCCACAGGGGCGTGGGGTGTACAGGCTCTGTGTGCACACAGAGGTGTGTACAAGGGCTCTGTGTGTACAAATGTGTGTGTCAGGCTCCCTGTGTTGGTGTGCATGTGTGTGTGTGTGTCTGGGCATGCACGAGCAGGGGCTGTGTGGCTGTGTGTGTGCAACAAAGACAGGCAGAGCTCACGTGCAGAAGTCTGTGCATGTGTGTGTGCACAGTTTAAGACTACATGTGAGTGTGTGTTTATACTTGTGTGTGCATGCTTGCAAAAGTCCAAGTGCATGTGTGTGTGTGTGAGTCTGTTGCACGTGTGTGTGTGTGTGTGTGTTTGCAAGTCTGTTGCACATGTGTGGTGTGTGTGTGTGTGCAGTCTGTGTGCACAGGGACAGCTCCGTGTGCAGGCACACATGGGCTGGGCAGGGGCTCCTGGCCCAGCGGAGTGGCTGACAGGGCTGACACTCTCTCTCTGCCCTCCCTGCCCTTCTCCTGCCCCTGCCAGTCACCCACCTGAAGGATCGGAGGCTGAGTGGAGGCACAGGTACTGCTCAGTGCCCGCTGCTGCATGGTGCCTGCCTGGCCTGTGCCCTCCAGCTGCCTGGGCACCTCTGGGAGCAGCCTGGGTGCAGGACTGGCCATTCCCAGCCAGATTCCTGCTGCCTTGCTCTGCTTTGCCTGAGATGGCAACATATGCCAGGTCTGAGGGCTGAGAAATGGCATTCAGAGAATTCCCCCTCCATGCAGGCACAGTCTCGGCAGTCTGCTCACTGTACCCTCTTCCAGGCGAGCCAGGAGCTGTGCCCACTGGCCATCCTGGCCTTCCCTGCACACCCTGGGCAGCCAGAGGAGCTCTGATCCCAGCTCACTCCTTTCCTGGAGCGTGGTAGTCTGGGATTCCCACTGCCTGATGCCCAGAGGTTGCATGCCCAGGAGTGAGCCTGGTGTTCAGCCTGCCCAGAGCAGCCCTGCCCTGCTGTCCTTACCCGGAGCTGCTCATGTTGTCACAGCACTGCTTGCTGCAAGCTTGTGCCCAGGCTCAGTCGCATCGGGGAGCAGGGCTGCTGGCAATGTTGGCTCAGTCCCTCAGGGTTTCAGAGGGATCTGAGCAGCCCAGCCATCTCTCTGTGCCCGTGCAGTGCCATCTGCCAGCATGACCCGCCTGGCACGCTCCCGCACCGCCTCCCTCACCAGCGCCAGCTCCGTGGATGGCACCCGCCCGCGTGCCTGCACCCACTCGGAGAGCACCGAGGCCATGGGGCAGATCAACCACACCATGGAGGTATCGTGCTGAGGTCCACGCCCGCCGCCGACGTCTCCTTCAGAGCCATCTCCCATCCGTCAGCATCCCGCCAGCACCCACCCGCCCCGTGGACACCCTCCACCAGGGCCCTCGCTTCTTCGGGGTCAATTTGTCTTCTTTGCCGTTGGCCTCATCCCCTTGTCTGGTACAGGAGAAGGAGAGGGGCTTCATCCAGCAGTCACACATGGTTCTGCACTGGTCCTCACCCTCCCCAGCATCGGCTTGGCTCCGGCTTGGGAGGGTGGGTGGCAGGGGGACAGGGCCAGGATGGGGTAGCAGGGTCAGGGTGGTGAGATGGGGACAGGATGTTGGGATGGGATGGGATGATGGGATGGGACAGCACGTGGAGAGGACACAGGAGGTAGGTTGGTCTCTCAAGTTCAACTGATGGCTGCATAAAAGGAAGACAGGAACAGGGAGCAGCGCTTAATGGGAGGTCACTGGTCTGTTCTTAGGGATGCAGTTTTCATTTCTCCCTGATGGCCCTCTCTAGGGAGAGCTAGCACAGGATCCCCCAGCACACCCAGGACTTGCTACCCCAGAGCTGGCTGAGCCTCGTGAGAAATCACATCCCAAACTGTCCCTTCGCCCTGGTCATGTACCCTGAGGGCTGCCCTGGGGCAAGTGAAGAGAGGTCAGCCCTACTCCAGAAGCTGTAAGGGCAGGAGAGTGGCATGAGTGTCCCCCTGCCTCTGTCCATGCCCTCACTGGTGGTGGCACTTCCTTCATCCCTTGTTGCAAGAAGGACAATTACTGTCTGCCACCAGAAATGCAGTGGGGAGGGGGGAATTGGCTGGGTTGGCCCCTGCCACACTGTCAGTTCCACTTCCAGCTCTTGGGCTGAGCCAGCCAGGGTTCAGAGGCCACTGTTTTAGGGGATGTCACACAGCAAATCCCACCTCAAGTTTTGCCACAACCTGTGGGTGTCATCACCGAGGAGCCATTAGCAATAAGATGAGACACTCCCCCCGCCATGCTGGGGAGCCCTCAGCACCCTCTGCCCCACAGGGTGCCTCACCACAAGGTGCTGACACTGTGGGGTGCCCTATGGGATGTGGGGAGCACTCCATGCTCTGGCTTTGCCCACACAGCTGCCAGACCCACCGTGGCTCCCCAGATCCACGCCCCACCTCCAGCATTTTGCCTGTGCCCTGAGCGGGGCGTCTCTCAAGGGCTTGGCTCCCCCAGGGCCGTGGGGCCCCCTCTGGCCACCAACTCCAGGTGGCTCTTGCCTCTCGCACTCGGCACGGAGAGCCCTGCCATTGCATGACCCCAGTGATGGCCACCCAGCCTCTGCTGCCGTGCCCAGCCCCTCCTGGGCGTGCTGAGGCACAGCTGAGGGTGGCCCTGCCTCTGGTGATGGGTGCTCAGGTCTCTGTAGGTGGTCCATGGGGGACCTGAGCAGGGAGCCCACCAGGTGCCACCGCCTGGGCGAGCAGAACCAGCCCGCTGGAAGCAGGTCCCACCCAGCCCCACAAAAGCTCATCCTACCCTCAGAGCCCATCCCTGCTCCCCAGTCAAGGGCACAGAGCTCCTGGGGCTCCCAGCGGGTGTGTGAGGGCTGTTGGCCCTGAGACCCATGCCCCACCCAAACCCTCTCATAGTAAAAGGCCACCCCAAAACACCAGTGTGCCCCTTTGTCCCCCACTTTGTTCTGCTGTGTGCTTCCTTCTTGGTGTGACTCTGAAAGCTACGTAGCTCCTTTTTACGGTAGATACCGCTGCGATCTCTTGTTTTCTCAGCGTGTCCTTCCAGATGATATATATATATAAATACCTATACATAATATATATATAAGGGTTTGCCCAATCCCTGACCTTTTTGGGTTCACTCCTCCTTGCATTCTTGTCCAAGCAGTGCCGTGTGGTTTCCCTGGAGGTGGTGTGGCCGTGCTCACCTTCAGTTCCTCACCTTGGTTTTGTTGGTTGGTTGGTTTGGTTTTCCCTGGTGGTTTGTTCTTTTGATTTTTGTTGGTTTTCCTTTTTTCCCAGTCACAGCGGAATTGAACACGTTTTCCTGTCTGAGTGCAGCCTGGTTTTGTCACAGCGGCATCGAGGCCGCAGCACTCATGAGACAGCAATATGTAAACCGGATTTAACTAACCTGTTGCTGTAGAGAGGAGTTACTGTGTTGGAAATAAACCAACTAACTAATAAAGATGTTAAGAACCTGCTGTGCTCTTTACAACATGTTGCAGGGAAATGGCTCTGAGCCCACCTGGGGCTGCCTGCAGAGACTTGGCAGGCACAGAGGACAAGGGGGACACACCTTGGCCACCAGCCCCACTAGTGATGCCCACAGGACCCCAGGGTGCACATGGGGGAAAGCTGCGGGGTGCTTTGGCTTCGGGGTAGCCATAGCCAGGCTGCCCTGTATGTACAGAGTGGATGGAAGCTGGAAAGCTGCCAGTTGTGGCCCAGTGAGGTTGGATCCAAGGGGCATCCACTGGGGAAGAAAAGAGCTGTGGCTGCACAACTCTGGGGATGAGCAGGGTCCTTGGGAAACTCAGCTTCCCTGTCCACTGCCAGGGCCCCTGTTTGTCTCCCCATCTAGGTCTGAGTGTCCCAGGCCATAGCCCTTTCCAAGTGCATGAAGTCCTGCCTGGGAAGGATCCTCTCCCTACATCCTAGTCCTTGCAGAGTCTGTCAGTGTCTGCCTTGTGCTGGGTCACTCCAGACTGGTCTCTGTCCCTGCAGAGGGGCCCAGAGCCAAAGCATGGAGACACTGTGGCTGTGTCCACACTCACGGTTGTCTGGGGGAGGCACAGAAAGCCTGGACATGTGGGGGGAATGCAAAGGGCCAAGGCTGAGCTGAGGTGTGGGCAGGCAGCCCAGGAGCCTTTCTTGGCTGCTTTGGTTCTGCTGGTCAGGGTGAGCCTCACCTGGAGGGGATGGGGTACGCTGCACACCCCTTATCACTGAAATGCAGAAATGCTGCTGTATCCATCCAGGGCATACTGCAGACTTTCTGCTGTACACATGGCTGGGATAGGATGTCAGACAAATGATTTCCACATTCCCACAGAATGCAATTCATGGAGTGCTAAATGCTGAATACTGACAGCCTGCAATAGGAAGAAAACTAAAAACTCTATATCCCTGCTACTGCTAGATTAAAACTCTCTTTCTGTACTTCAGATTAAATAATCTATTTTCCTGGGACCTGGCCCACCTCACCATTCAGTTACCTCTTCTTGGAACAGAAGCAAGTGTGTCACTGAAGATTCCCTTCCCATATATTTACCCAAAAAAGTAAAGTCACAGCTTATTTTAATACTGCCAGTAATACTTGCATGAGAACAGGCTGTTGATGATGCATGAGTTTTTATTTCTAGCAGGAGGAGATAATTTAGTACGTGTAATCCCTCGGGGGAACCTGCAAAACAATGGGAGCAGCAGGGCAGAAAAAAATTCAGGCTGTTTTTTCTGGCCAGATATGGATGCCATTAGCGGGGAGTGAGGGAACAATATAGGTCAGTGTCTCAAATAGTGCATGAAAATTCGACTTAGAGCCTGCGGTGCATCTGTGAGGCTGCACTGCCACCTGGTGCGGTTTGAAGTGCTCACAGCCTCTACCCAATGCCGCCTCTGCCTTGTTTTTTGTTTAAAACACCCCACCAAAGGACAACAATGCTGTTACAACTGCTGGCTGTTGGGTTTGGTTACGTAAACAGACAGGAACATGACAGCACAAAGGTCTGGGAATCAGAAGCAGCTGAGCAATGGTGCCAGGCACTCCCCCTCCATCTGTCACAGGTGTGCAGGGGAGAGGGCTTCAGCTGCCAGGACAGAGTTCCTGCAGGTTTCTGCCAACTCCCTGAATGCTCCAGCCTTAGCAGCTGACTGTGCTGTGTCCCCAGGTGAGCCAGGCTTGGCAAGGGTGACTGTGTTTGTGCCTCCGAGCAGGTGAAGCTGCCTGCAGGGTCCCAGGTGGGTGTTAGCACAGCCAGGTACTTCTCTCCTGCCAGGCCTTCCTCAGCAAGGATCCCTCGCTGATGAGGAAGATCTCATCCCCGGGATGAGGTGGGGACAGCTAAGGACAGAAAGCTTAAAGAACAGTTCATTTCCCATTGCTGCCCAGGGCCTCGCTGTATTCGCTGCTCTGAAAACAGAGGGCTGGAAGCACCAAATGCACAAAATCACCAAACAGATGGGAAGGCACCTTGGCAGATCATCCAGTCCAATCCCCCTTCCAAGACAGAGTCTCCTGCAGCAGGGGGCACAGGAACATGCCCAGGTGTGTTTTGAATGTCTCCAGAGAGGAATTCACAACCTCTCTGGGCAGCTATTCCAGAGCTCTGCCACCCTCCACGTAAAGAAGCTCTTCCTCATGTTGAGGTGGAGCTTGTGTTTTAGTTTACGGCCATTGCCCCTCATCCCACTGCTGGGCACGACAGAAAAGAGCCTTGCACCATCCCCTTGGCACCACTTTGAGATATTTCTATGCATTGATGAGATCCCCTCTGAGTCTTCTCTTCTGCAGACCAAGCACGCCCAGCTCCCGCGGTCCCTCCTGACATCAGCTGCTCCAGACCCCTCTGTGGCAGCACATTTCTCTCCCTCTCAGGATTTTTCATAGAGCTGCACAGAGAGAAATGAAAGAGAAAACAATTTCTATTCCTGCTCCTTGTTTTTCTGATATGGAATGTGTTTGAAGAATTTTTTACCTGGGGTGATTGCTTGGTTGGATTCTGGTGAGGATTGCTTGAGCCTGATGGCCAATCCAACCCACCTGGGGCTGGACTCTGGAGAGGGTCATGAGTTGTGGGAGAGTTAGAGATAGTCAGAGAAAGCAGTATGTAGTTTGAGTATCCTCCTTTTATATAGTGTATTAATGTATTTTAGCATAGTTACAATAAATAAATAATTCAGCCTTCTGAATTGAGTAATTTCTTCCCATTGGGTTCGCCTGCATGTACAATACCCCTCATCATCTGCGCGCCCTCCGCCGGACCCTCTCCTCTATCTCCTCGTCTCCCTGGTGCTGGAGATCCCAGAGCACTCCAGATGTGCCTCGCTGGGGCTGAGCAGACCACCCCAAACCCCTGCGCCCCCCGTTCCGCGGTGCCCATCCCCGCGGGGGCCGCAGCCCGCCCCGGGCATGAGGCGGGAACTACAGCTCCCATGGTGCCGCGGGGCCGGGCGGAAGCGGGGCGCTCCGGCCGAGCGGGGCCGCGCCGAGCCCATGGCCGCGCTCAAGTACGCGGGGCTGGAGGACACGGACAGCGAGGAGGAGCTGCCGCCGGGCTGGGAGGAGCGCACCACCAAGGACGGCTGGGTTTACTATGCTAAGTAAGGGCGGGAGCGCGGCGAGCCCGCCGGGAGCGCTCTGGCAGCGTCCGCAGAGCCGCCCCTCGGTGCGGGGCAGGAGCCGCCCCTTCACGGGGCGGGAGCGGGGACGCGGTGCCCGTGTGCGGTGCCCGTGTGCGGTGCCCGGCTCCGGGCGGGGCTGGCTCCGAGGCTGTGGCAGCCACAGCCGCCCTGCGGAGGGTGCCGAGCCGGCGGCACCGGCCCCGCCGGGGAGGGATGGCGGAGCTCCCGCCGGTACCGTCCCGGAGCTGTTTCAGTGCTCTCGGGGCTCCCTGGGCGATCTTTATGCGTTCTGGTTGAGGCTTACACGATATTGCAGATTGCTCAGGTTCTTCTCTGTGGGAACAGAGGAGAAACAGGTGCGATGGGAAGTTAAACGCTGCGCATGGCGTTCCTCGGCTCTTCAGTACACCTTGGGCAAGAGATGAAGAATTGCATTTAGCTCCTTCTGCCCGTGCCGCTGGCAGGGTCCATCCTCCCAGGTTACAAATGTGCCGCAGGATGAGCTAACTCAGGAGAATATGTGTTTATACACTCTCTCCTCTTGTGTGGTTTCTGTAGCTATGCTCATCTTGGGCTTTCCTTCCGTCTGTTTAAAACTACAAGAGTTATTCCCTTCCACAACAAGGTGGGAAAGTATGGTTCAGTCTCACTGGTGGTGAGTTCTGCCCTTATAAACACTGGACAGAATGCTTTAGTTAATCCACACTTTGTAAACACTGCAATTTCTCTCTAGGTGTCTGTTTTTCTTAGGTCAATTGCTTGTGTATTTCCTTTGACTTCAAAAGCCCTGTCAGGAAGGATTCACTCGGTGAAAGTTACAAACCTGTGAAATAACAAGGTGTTATTGAGTATAATTGTTACAGAGTCAGTTCAACAGGTCAGTTTCTGAGCTCTTGAGAAGCTGGACTGGTTCTGTTTAACAACATTACTTAATATATCTTAACTGTTTGAAAATCTTGCTCAGTAATATATTAGATGTGAAGAGGTGTTGCACTGTTGCTGCCTTTAAGTATACACTCTGTATGTGTGATTTTTCTGCATGTTCTGGGAATTTACTTTAAACCTCATCACCAATATGAACTTCTAGCTGGAATAAGATTATTTTGCTTGAAGACTTTTAAAGGTATTTATGATCAGTTAGGTGTGCACACAGGTGGACACAGCCTGTTTGTCAGGCTGCTGTAATTTGCTTAAATATCTCCTATTTTCAGGTCACACATGTGCACTTGTTTAGTCTCAGCTCCCCAGCTGTGATCCCTGTAATACCATGAGCTGTCACTGTGGGCTTGCTGTAAGAAGGGAAAGTTGCTTATGTTGTGTGTAAATTGCTGTTGGGCCTGTAGGTTATTTGTAATTGTGTGTTATTTATTGCTGTTGTCACTCTTTATTTCACACTTGGGCAGCTATCAGTTTGGGCACTCAATTAATCCCTGCCTGACTCTTAAAACTTGGTTATTATTTAAAATCAGTGAAAGACGAGATATTAATGTCCAACTCGATTTCAGCACTTTGGTTATTTTAAGATGTTGTTTATATGTACATGACTTTGATTATTAGTCTATAGTGCAGAAAATTTTACAATGGAATACTTTAATTCTGTTAGTGATTTAAATGAATAAAGTCTCCTAATTGGAAGAAAAGATGGGATACCATTGTTAGTATATTAAATAAATATCCTGCTAGTCAAGGTCTTTGGATAAACTTATCTGTCCAAAGCTACAATTGCTTCTAGAAATCCAACTTACGTATATTATACTCTACAAATCAATATTGTTAGGCAGGAGTTTTAAAATTGTGCTTTTGTAATTGGAAGACTTCTCTAATATTAGTATTACTCGGTGGTGATAAATTCTTTTCTTGCTTCTTTCTTCTTTACTCCTGCAAGGATCATCATCTTTGTGAGGTGTCTTCTGAGTCTGTTAATGTTGTCGTTAAATGAGTTTTTATGTTATTTTTTTTCTTCTCATAAGCAACAAAACCTGGATTGGAAGTCAAACTTTTATTGGAATTTTTATAGACTTCTGTGCTCTCTGGTTAATTCCTTTCAGAACTGTGGGGATATTTTGAGTTACATCAGAAAGCTTATTAGGCAATTAAAAAAAAAATCTCAAACTTTTTCTTTTCCTGCAGCCACCTAGAAGAAAAAACACAGTGGGAACATCCTAAATCTGGGAAGAGGAAACGTGTTGCAGGAGGTTTGTATTAAACTTCTGTAATGAACTGACACTACCTTACAAACACCTGCTTCCTCCACAAACTCCAGCTGATCTCATTTTGATCTATGTGTTGTCACTGATTCTGAGTGTGTAGAATATGGCTGATTTCAGTGGGGTTTTACCTCTGTGATTGTGTCTAGTTTGGAGTTTTACCTCTGTGATTGTGTGAAGAGTGATAATTTTGCAGTTTTATGGCTTTCCTGTATTGCTCCATAAGGCCAAAGTACCAATTTGAGGTTACAGAGTTGGTTTTAGTGTAGCTTGTAAAGCATATAGTCAAAAGCTGGGGTTCTGTGTTCCTGGTGTCCATCAGATAATATTTATAGTTGGATGATATTTTTCAAAGAATGTATTTCATCAAGGAGTACCCCTGGCACAGAAAGAAGCCTCATTAGTTCTCATTTTACCTGTTTTCCCTGACCCAGCTGAATATTTGTGCCAGAACAGAAGGCAGGCAGTGTTGCAGGACAATTCCAGGGGAAAAATCTTCTCAAGGACCTTGGGTCAGTGCCTTAAATCAGATCTTCCCAGAAGCTTCTGTACCTGGGGACACTACACTGTTGGCAAGCCATGCTTCTTTTGGCATTGGTAATCTGAGTATAAGTGGAATGTTTTGACTAAGTCTGAAGTAAATGGAAGTGAAATGAATACTTTCTAGCTAAGGTTAGAAATACTCTGAATGCCATCTGTTCACTACCTTTGTATAATCTTTTATATAAGAATTTGTTATGTAAAGATTTGCCATTTTCCTTCTATCTATCCTTCCAGCTTCAGTGACTCATTTAGGTTTGATTTATTGTATCTCATGCCCACTTGAGGGTTCTGATCTTTCAGCTTTTGGTATGTGTTACACATAACTTTTCCTAAAGAGCTTTTGCTTTTTATTTTAGCAGGGGTAGATACTGAATTGTGAGTAGTACAGATCTGTATGTGCTTGGCAGCATGGCTGCATTTTGCTGGTTTTTTTTTTTTCTGTGCTATAACATGAAATAATCTTTGTAAAGATTTTTTTAGACTGTCTTTATACTTAATCTGCCAGCCATGGCACTTGTACCAGATCTTCTGTGTATTATATTTCTAGGAGAGAGCAATTGTGGGTGATTAGGGAAGCAATCCTCCTGTCAAGTTCTGAATTCAAGGGCAGCAGGTAGCTGCACCACCTCCAGAAAACTATGCAGAATTGTGTCTCATCAGTCTGAGAAATCACTTAAACTTCAAATTGAAGATTATTATAATGCCTGAAAATAAAGTTAATGTTTTTATGTGCTTCCTAGATCTGCCATATGGATGGGAGCAGGAGACTGATGAAAATGGACAAGTCTATTTTGTGGAGTAAGTATCTCAAATTGTGGAGTGTGTAGAAGGAGGACAGCTGGGTTACATGCTGAGTAGCCTCCTGAGTTATGATACTGTGACAATACTAGCTGGAAAGACAAGAAGATTAATAAATGCAGCTTCAGAATCCAAATGCAGATATTGCAGTGTCTATAAGTGTGGGGTCCTTTTAGAGAGTTGCTATAAAAGAGAATATGTTCTTCTCTAATGTAACAAGATTTTAAAATTTTTTCCCCATACAAAGTTCTGCCTTTTATGTCAGGGGTTCGCATGAAGTTCAGAATGGCTTGTGAAGTATGTAATTAGAATTATTAATGGATGCTGTCACAACTGGAAAAATGTTTGATTAAAAAAATAATCGGGATAATTTCAACCAAACCAAAAAAAAAATTTGATTTTTGGGAGTCGAAATAATCCACTAGAATTGTACCCAGCAGTGGTTGAAATACATTCAAAATGTAAATTCAGAGAACAGAAGGGTTCAAACAGTTGAGTTTTTGTGTTCTTTTGCAGCCACATAAACAAAAGGACTACCTACCTTGACCCAAGACTGGCCTTTACAGTAGAAGATAATCCAGTGAAGCCTCCTACTAGACAAAAATATGATGGGAACAGTACTGCAATGGAAATTCTCCAGGGTCGTGACTTGAGTGGGAAGGTGGTTATAATCACAGGAGCCAATTCAGGAATAGGTAGGTTAACATGGCATGGAAGGTAAAATATGGCAAACTTTATCTCACAGGCTACTTGCTTGTTTAAATATCTCTGTATTTTTGGTTTTCAAACTTGATTTGCACTTTTTTCATAGAAAACCACTGGTTAGAAAGGTTTTCTTTAAAAATGCGTGGAGAATTTAGAGTTTACAGGAAAGACATCAAGTGCTGAAACAATTGATTTTTGTCTAGGAGAATATTGATGGAGACATTTTACATTATGCAAATATATAAAGGATGGCTGTGAAAGAGAAAAGAATTTTATTTTTATGATCTTGGTGGCCAGGACAAGGAGTGAGGTTTGTATGGCTGCTGGGCAGTTCAGGTAAAGTATTCAGAAAGACTTCTTAATGCTAGCAAGTAAATTCAGGTAAAGATTTTCCCAGGAGGCTGTGGAATTTTTATCTCTGAAGGTTGTTTCAAGTGAATTTGATGATGAACTTGTGTCAGGATGTTTTACTCAATACTCCTTTAGTTCAAAGAAATACAATTTATGGCCTTTAGTAATCCTTGTTGGCTGTATTGTCTCACAGGTTTATCAGTCCTTTCAGACCCAGCTTTTTAGATATCTGTTAAATATTACTCCTTTCAGACCCAGCTTTTTTAGATATCTGTTAAATATTACTGCTTCTATAGTGGGTGAGTGAGAGATGCAGATCTTCTGTTGCCTATTGTTCATTTTTTGTTGCCTTTTGTTGTTCGCATTTTTCTTTGTGATGGGATTACATCAATATTGAAGGAGTCCTTATGCAAATTATTTGGTGGTTTTTATTGTAGTTCAGCCTTGCTGAATGAGTAGGAAGTGTTTCAAACATAGCAAAAGATTAATCCAAGATATATGATGGTTTTGTCAAGATTTTTTCCCATGTTTATCCCTTAGTTTATAATCTGAATTGATCACAAATAATCAATCATATCCTTGCTTGAAATATTTTTTGCTCTGACATAGAGTCTGTAAGTATGAAGGTACCAAATTTATGATCCAGATGGTGTTAGGACCTGTGTAACTCAAACTCTTGCATGCCATGTTGCATTAGTGCTGCTTTAGTCCTGTGCAGTATCTGATGTTTCCTACCAGTTGCCATGGAGCATGGTTTAATTAGCTGGTTCAAGGGGACTCTTGCCAGTTTTGGAGCTTATTTTACAATTAGTTTAGGATTTCAATGCTGTGCTCCGCTTGGTGTTGTAGATATTCCTTTTAAATTTTCTGCGTATGTTGGAGGTAATAGTTTCCTCCCTGATTATTTTGAGGAGTAAACAATTCCTGTGATTTCAGAACAACAAAATGTTTTCTTTTAGAGGCAAGCATAAATAATTTGAGGGAAATGTTGTCCATGAAGTAGAAAGAGATATAAAAATAATGTATCACTTACTGAGCGTTTGTACTCAATAATGCAAGGCAAAAAATAACTGAACCCTTTGATAGTTGTCCAAATGAAGTTCAGTGGTATATTTGAAAATAACTAACTGTGGTGTCTGTGCATTTGTTGAGAAATATTTCATTTTGGGATGGGTAGAACAAAGATCAAGCTGTAACTTGGTAGCCTGCAGTCAGAAAAATGTGTTTTCAATTACTGCATTTCTGGATGCTGAAGATAAAGTTTGGGAAATGCTGAGAATCCCTTGAAAGATGGATGAACACATAAGTGGTGTTTTTATTAATCTATATACTCTGCTTTAAGATAGCAATGTTAAAAACAGATCAGCAAAGATGGAATGATATCTTAATTCACTTTATTTGTTCATCTAATACAGGGACTTCTGTCTAGCTTGTCAGGAGCACTTTTTTCTCTTAGAGTTGAAAAATGTCCTCAACTTCTGAAGAATAGAGATGCTTGCTTAGTTACTGAGGGAATAATTTGGATGACTTAAGCAGTTTTAGGGTTTTAGCGATGTCACATGTTGCCTCATTGCCATTAATTTAACATATCTGTAAACAGGGACACTGTCTGCCCTGTTCTGGTTCTTTTCATTCCTGATTAGGAGATAATCTGTAAAAACTTCCTAGATTATACACCCACTTTCTTAACTTAATCCTTAAAATTGCTGTTGAAAGTGTGAGGCGGGGGGGAGCACGGGGGGGAGTACTAAAAATTAAATTTATAAACACTTAATTTTTATTTAGCAACTTGGAAAAGGCTAACAAATTATTCTGTTCTTACAATACACAGAGGTCCTAGCAGCTCAAGAGTTATTAGTGAAATATTTTCTTCTATATTTTGGAAGCTTTTTCTTCTGGCAGCGCAGTTCAAGTATTCTTTATGGTTTCTTTTCTCATCTACTTCTTACGCTCAATCTAAATTTTATCTGAATATCACATTAGAGAGTTAAGGTAACTTTTGGTCCCAGTAAAGCTGAAAAGAAGTAGGACAGACTGAATAGTTCAGTCTTGTGCTGTCAGTCCTGATTTTAAAAACATATTCTCTGTACATTTAAACATGAATAGTATCAATTGTCAGTTGGTTCTGGAAGAGGCAGTAAGAGTTATTCCACTGGTAGGAATTGAAGGTGTGCGTAATTTTGAGTGTTGTTTTTCTGTTTAAAGGCCTCAACATGAGCTTACAGAGAAAAACCTTCCCCAGCTGGCTGCTGGTATGAGCTGATTCCTGCTCCCCAGTGTTGCCAGTAGAGGTCTGTATTGCTCTTTGAAAATACTGAACAAAAGCAACCTTGTGCTTATTGCTGTTCTTAGGAAATGCTCCTGTAATTCTGTTGTTTGTGTTCTTAATTATTAGGGCTAGAATTGTAAATTTATAAAAGTGTGTCAGCAGTTCCTCTAGGTTTAATTTTACAGAGATGTGGTATTTTCAACTGTATGTGTAAGCAATCTTAAATGATACATTTTTAAAAAAGCTACTCTTAACTTGGTTTTAGTATCAGAGAACCACTTCTGTAGCTAATATGATTTTCTGACTTATATAAAAATAGCTGTCTGTTTTTAAGGATCATGTATGACCATGGGACCATGATGTGATCTGGTTGCTGTGTCAGGTGCAGTTGCATCTGACCAGTGACTGGAGTGTGTCTGAGTGGTGAAGTGCAAGTGGTGTTGCAGAAAATAATGAAAGGACAGAATGGGTCTGTTCTGTCCATCAGGTGGATTCCCCAAAGCAAGGTGTTTCTTAATGCTTTTTCAAGACTTTATCACAAAACTGTATTGATAATCACAAGCAGTTGCTCAAATTGAGATTCTAATTTTGCTGCTAGATGAAGGTCAAAAGAAGCCTATTCATTGCTTTTGTAAGGGATGCCCAAAACAACCAGATTAGATTTTTTTCAGAGGCTGAAGAAAATCCAGAAGCTCCAGCCACAATGTGGCTTGCTGTATTGCTTTCCTTGATAATGTTTTAATGTTTTAGATTGTTTCCTCAAAGTAATTGTTGTTTAGTGTTTTGTTGGAACTTTTTCTTTTTGGCACTTCTACTTCTGTGCAATGGAGAAGCCTTAGCCAGGAGAAAAGCTGTGGATTAGGTGCAAAATCAGTGCTTAAAAGAAGAGTCACTGCTCCATTAAGATTTTGGTGTGAGAAGTTACCATGGTTCTTTTATTTCCTGGACAGAAATTCAGTGTTAGCAACTTTTTTCATCCTGGTGCAAAAGGTTGGAAAACTGCTTATAATCTATCTCAATTAAGCATCTGCTTTATGTTTCAGATTTACTTTATGATTTCTTGTATGGTTTTGAAATTTCTCTGATGCTGGAACACCTGAACTCTATCAGACTTGAAAAAGTCAGCTTGTTTGCATTGGGTAGTTTATTTTGGGAAGAGGAAAACCTCTGAGAGAAAATACATCTATTTGCTTTTGGTCCATATTTTTATTTTTCTCAATTCTATTCATACAATTTTAAGATTTCTTTGTGTAAACTTTTTTTTCATCACAATAAGCCATATAAAAAGAGCAAGGTGTTTACTTTCTAATAATTATTTGCATCCTTTTTGTTACAAGAACAGAACAAGAGATGTGAGCTGGAGTGGCAAACTTGTGACAATGCCTCTTGAGCTGTCTTTTCCCAGTGTAGTGAAAAGAGTTTGTTGTCTTAACCAAAATTCATTTTCATAAATGTATGAAATCCTGTGGATTAATAAGACTCCTGCCTGTTTTTATTGAGAGTTTCTGTACATGGTTGTGATGTAGATCAGGGGTGCACTGAGAAGGGAGATGCATCTCGTGTTGTCAGTCCAGAGCAGAACTGCAGAACTATTTTTTTTTTTGTGGTGAGGGAGCTGTTGCAGCCTCTGCGTGGTTGGAGGTTTCATGCTGGAAGTGTTGCACGTGTGGAGAACTGGAGTGGTGCTCATTATGGAGGTTTGTGCTCAGAGTTTGTGAGGCAGAAAAATCAGCAATATCTAACTTTGGATTATTTTTCTTGGCCAAATCCTAGCTGTCCCTGAGAATGTTTTCATGTATTGTACTAAATATATTTTTTGTATTTATTTGGCTTTTAACAACGTGGAAGAGCTGTTCCTTGATGTATATTTTGATTTTTTTGTGACTCTTAGGCTCCATTTATCATGAATTATCTTACACCCCATGACTAGCACTGCCATGAAAATCTTGGTGCCTGTGTAAAAGTTTTGTTTTTTGCTTCTTATTTAAACTTACACTTAGCTGTTTTTTTCAGGCATTTCCTTTGTGGAAGTCCAAAACTTTGTAGCAGGCATGAATTTTGTTGTATCAGTTTTTTGAGGGAGTGGGAGTACAGTGCTTTTCCAGGAGAGCCTGGATCTTGCAGGAAGTGTATTTTTGGCTGGGTAACTGATGTAGAAAAGCATGATTTCTGGAGGGGAATGTGCCTCTGGGTGGAACTTTTAACTCCTTATGTTGTGGGATGTTTGTAGCTGTCAATCAGGGATTAGTACTGATGTAGTTTGAACAAATAAAAATCCCCTAATAGCTATTATTTTCAAAATGGGATTAATAGAAGAGGGTTCTCTTTAACTTACAGAACTGTATTCTTAAAATTTACGGCAGATAAGAG